AGACTTGTCCTGGGGTAAGACGATGCCACCTGTAAATTGAAGTGAAGAATTATTATTGCATTAAGGAATAGCAGCGCATTTGAGTAGGACATGCTTTTTGCATTGTTAGGCTTTCTGGGTTTCTATAGACATCTATAGGTCTGAATACATGAATGGCCATAGTTTTTGTTCTCTTACTTTATAGTGCATCTAAATGGTATAAGGCAGGGACAGCCAACTCCCAATAGACTGTGATCTAATTGGGGGTTCAGGTCAAAATTGTTTTGTTTTGTTTTTAGGAAAGAGAAAGCCCCATTTTTTAGGGGTTCAGGTCAAAAGGTCAAAGTTGTAGGGCTTTATTTAGGGGAGAGGAAAGCCCCTTTTCTTTGGGATGCAGGACAAGAATGTTGAGCTTTTTTTAGGGGAGCCAAAGTTGTTGAGCTTATTTGAGGGGAGCCAGTGATCTACCACAGACACCCAGTGATCTACCGGTAGATCATGATCTACCTGTTGGACGTGCCTGGTATAAGGGATGTATGACTTTCCTCTGAAGTGTGAGGAAGAGGTTGTGTCACTCTGCTTTCATGTTTACTTTCACATACTTTATAAGCAATATGGCAGATTTCCTGAAGCATCTTTACTGCAGCACATGCTTTAAATATATAAGTAAATAAAAATAGAACATGGTGTAAATTCATTCAGAAATTATCTTTAGGCCACAAAGCAGCAGACCTCAGTGTTGTCCCCTTCCTTCTACTACCTCCACAACCTCCTCTCCTTCCACCACCCATGTGGAAAGGCCTTTACTGAAGCAGTGGTGACAAAGCTTTCTGTATATTTTCAGAACATGACAGCATATGAGGTTCTATTAATGCCTCCTGACTGGGTCTATAAATATCAAGATTTAATGTTCCCCATATCTTTTCCAAAGGAGGAGACTCTTTAAAAAGCCAGCTCGGTATCAATGAATCCAGCATGTAGGAAATGGCCCTGTTTTCTTGGGCTTCTGACTTTCTGAACCCAGAAGCAGATGGACATTAACCGCCTCTGATTAGTTGGGAGAGTTGTACATTAATTTTTTATACACTAGGACCACCTGAGTGACTGAATTCAATTACAGGCTCCCTCCTTTTCTCGTTGCCCCCCCCTTCCCCCCTGTGTTATTAATGTGGCTCCTCCATAGCAGAAACCGAGGGACCTGTTGAAATGAGAAACCCTTATTTCTTAGCGTGACCCACTGGATAATTAGGGTTAAATTGATATGCTATCACATTGGTGACACATTTTATCTGCCTCTGTTTGTACAAGAGGATACAATGGTGGAGGAAGGACCAATTTGTGCCCTTCTCTCGCTAACCAGACTGAGATAAAAGGTGTCACTAGGACGATAACGTCCTCGCCTTGCGCTCCTTTATTGTTGCTCAATTTGCTAGTTTTTTCTAAATCCTGTTCTTTCATTCTTTCAATACCCTTGGCCATATTTTAGCTCCATGCCATTGCATAATGATGCCCTGCTAAATGTGTGTGCGCTATCTGCAACTCTGGCTGACAGCCCTGCCTGATAACCAAATTCCTGTCCATCCATCACTAGCTGCCTCTCCTCAACTTAAGGAAAGCGATAACCAAAGCATGGCTGTTTATCACCGCCAAGCTGGGCTCTTCTTTCCTGGTTGAAAGAAAGGAGAGTTGGCTTCAAAGGAAGAAAGAGGGCTGCATGCTTTTGTCTCCATCTGCGGATCATTCTCCTCTGCAGCCCGTCAGACTGCCCTGTGTATTTTAGAAGCCTTCCCTCACATTATGCTGGGCTAGAATTTGACACAAATCTCTCTAGTTTTTAAATTTAATTTTCTCAGTCTTATGGCTTATTAAAATGTGCAGGAGTAGAATATAAGAAGAGTGAATAGGATGTTCAGTGGTCAGGGGTGTGTGTTTCTCTTACATGGCTAGCAGAATGTATAAAATTCAGATTCTTTAGACACATACAGTATTTAGGTTGCAGCTGAACTTTTTTTTCCTACTGCAGAACATAATGTAGGAATTTGGAATACACAGTGGCAAATGAAGCCTGTCCTTTAAGCCATCCAGGCCTCAAGAGAGAAGCTCTTCCTACCAATGAAAGTCATGCTGGAGATCATGAAGAGCAGCTAGTCTATTTGTTTTTGGGTCGAATATATCTGTGTAATAATACAATATTACAAGCAGTTAAAACAAGAATGCTGCCTCTGATCCTGGAGGTGGTATATACAGTAACTCTCACGACAGGTTGTCACCAATAACAATAATAATAATAACCTTATTGAAGTAGCTTCTTTAAACTGTGAAGTTGTACTTACAAAGGCAGTCTGGATTCACATGTATGAGTTTAGAAGGAAATAGTTTGCTAGCTCATACTTTTTAGTATTTTTATTTGAGAAGGAAAAGTAACAAAATTGTGTGTACGTCAAGATAAGGATAACTTGGACCCTTACAGAACTTCAGTTTGGAAGCAGTTTGCCCCAGAACTCTTATGTTTATGTCGAAGTATAGCATGTGTGTATGGGAAGGTGTTATTGAGGTCTAGATGCGGACAGTAAGTGAAAGTCTTGTTTCTAGATCCACTGAATTGTGCTCCCTTAGAGGCAACACTACGAACACCAGGGAACCAGCACTGCACTGCACTGCCCTGCCCTGTCCAACCCCTTCTTTCTTTGTAGGAGTTTACAACAAAGTGCTGGGTACAAAGTGCGTGCCTAATTTGCATATCCAATTGCTTGGATTGCAGTAATTACCATGTGTAAATGGATCTATTAATCACTTATTTAATTAATTTTGGGTCTTTCCTGTGTTCGCCTAATTCATACCCCATCCAGCATTCAGGGCATCTCTAAAAATCTTTAGCAAAGCATTAATAAGCATTATGACCTGTTAACTACCCCATATCAATCAAATTGATTGGGAACAAATGAATCTACATTCCAAGATAATGGACACAATGCCTATTCTTTGCCCTTCCAGTAGCAGAAGGGGGGGAGTTGTGGGGCTTAGGGCATGCCTGCTGTCTGGGGAACACAATTTCTTACTATGGGAGAGATTGTAGAGCTATGATATAGTCTTTAGTTCCCTAGCTAATTTTGCCAATGTATTGATAACTCTCTTGCTGATAACTTTCTGATGACTGTTGTTACTGCAGAATAGAAATGTGAGGATGGTTTGTGATCTCCTAGGTATGTATTGGCTGTTTACCACATGTTCTGTGTGCCTAGTTCTGGTAATCTTGGCATCTTTGGGTCCAGCTGTAAGCACCGGCATAATTTATGGGTGCATAGTTTGGCAAAGACAATGCCTTGTTGTGCCATCCATCTATTACAACTTGAGTTCATAAGAACATTAAATATTTGTTAAAATATTTGTATACCGCTATTCATAAAAAAGTCAAAGCCGGTTTATAACAGCCATACATATATATAGTAAAACCATGTAAACATTTAAAATTGGATACCATCAACTAATTATACAGAAACATAAGAAGAACTCTAATAGACCAGATCAAAGGCCCATCTGGTCAAGCATTCTATTCTCACAGTGGCCAGCCAGGCGCCTATGTGAAGCCCCCAAGTGCTCTCCTTACATGGGATTTCCCAGCAACTGGCATTCAGAAACATAAGCCACCTACAGTGGATGTAGAACATAGCCATTACGACTAGTAGCCTTTGTTAGCCTTATCCTCCGTGGTTTTATCTACTCTTTTAAAGCTGTACAAGTTAGTGGTCATCACTACATCTTATGGGAGCAAATTCCATAGTTTAACTATGTGTATAGATATACTTCCTTTTGTCTGTTGTTCACAGTATGGCTGGGAGTTCTAGTACTATAAGAGAAGGACAAATGCCTCTTACTGTCCACTTTCTTCACACTATGCATAATTGTAAACACCTCTATCATGTTCCCACTCTCTCGCCTTATCTGTAAGCTTAAAAAAAATCCCAAATGTTGCCTCCTTTCGTTTTAAGGGAATTGCTCTAGTCCAGGGGTCAGCAACCCGCGGCTCCGGAGCCGCATGTGGCTCTTTTACACCTTTGCCGCGGCTCTGGGGCGGATACTAGCGAGGGGAGGAGGCGCATTGTGTGCCCTGACACTCCCCACTGTTTTAAATGTCGCAATGGTTTTGCAGCTCCCAGTCCCCCCCCCCCCGGTCCAAGTGGCTCTTTTTGTCTTAAAGGTTGCAGACCCCTGCTCTAGTCCCTTGATCATCTTGAAGACTAACTATGGTTTACTTTCTGACAAAAACTGTGATGTGAAGCTATGGTTTGTTGTTGGCTTATGAATCATGGCTTCTTTTAACTATGGGTTCGGGCAGAATGCCAAACCAAAAGCTTTACCATGGCTTGTTTGTCCACCCCAGACATTTCCGAATTAGAGAGCCATGAAGCAAGAATGGCTGGAAAAACATACCAAGCTTGGGGGGAGCAAACTATGGGTTGTTTGTTTATTTGTGAAACAATTTATGGTTTGTTTAAAGCAAACCATGGCTTAGTGTTACATGCGAATACAGCCACAGTTGACTGTTGTTGAGTGCATGAGCATAGGTGGGGACAACCAAAGAAAGGCATGTGCCTAAAGTCATATGCCCACGGGCTCACCAGAACATACTGAGCTGCTTTGCTAATCTTCTTATGGAACTAACCACTAGTTGAAGATGATTAGTTTTATCTAACCAGGCCTACACACCTTTTAAAAATGATTGCTATGTTCATGGGTTGCATGTGAAATTCGGGCGACATATTGCCAACTTCTAAGTCTTCAATGAAAATGTCTAGCATCTTGGATGTATAATGCCTGTTGTCTAGCCATCCCAAGCTTGGGTTTGCGTTGGGCTCCTGTGTTTGACTGGCCTCTGTCAAATGTGTGGGGCCATTCTGAAATGCAGGCTAGAGCATTTTATTTTATCCTCTTTCTCAAAACCAGAAGTGTTTAATAAAGTTTATTTTGTGATGTCAGGCTCCTCCAATGGAATCTAACCTGTTCTCTCTCCTCTCTTACAGGTTACCTGGACAATGCCAATACTTAGGGCTTCCAGTTGCTGATTACTTCAAACAGTGGATTAATCTCAAAAAGGTACTTTCATTGCAAATCTCCCTTTCCCCACCACCCCTTGGCTGCCTCTTCATTTCCCCTTCTCCCTTCCTTGGCTCCTTCAAGGAGGTATTTAATAAGCACGGCTGTTTTGCATTGAAATGAGGAGTTATTTTCTCAGAGGCCGGGTGAAGCGAAGTTCCTATTGTATCTCCCCTAATAGAGTCTTACTGTACTTGATGGAATATGGTCTGCAGCTGAGGAGAATCCCATTGTGGCCACCCTAACATAGCACCTCTATGCATAATAACTCAGCATCTCTCTGGGAAAGGCTGGGTCAGCTGGAGCATATCCAAGTCTGCTCCACCCCCCACCCGGGCTTCTAAGTCTCTCTCCCTCTCACCTCCCCCTGCCCGCCAGTGAATATTAGCCAGCTGTTTCTCAGTGCTAAAGGTCTAGAAAGTGCACAGAAAAATAACCTGCTTAAGACTTTCTGCTTCGTACAAACCTTTAAAACAATAACTCCCCTGCTCCAAATTATGTGACCCAAACTGCTTAGCAGTATGACCACCGGAGCTTTAAGCACAGATACCTCTCTCGTTCGTTCAAACCTAATGGATTAACTACTCAGGCATTTTGTATTTCTCTAGAGACCCCCCTCCCCCAGCATACAAGAGACTTGCATACATGGAAAAGGCCGTCCCCCCAACCCCCGTGTTGATAAGGAGACAGTTAAGTAGTGGATACAGGCAATTGACGCAAAAAAGTCAAACCCAGTGTTGTGCAAGGAAATGTTACAATGCTTTAAACAGTTCCTGTATTCTGTTAATGAATGGCATGAGTGGTGCCACTGAATTCAACAGCTTTGTATTTTCAAACCATATGTAGGAGCTTGCTTTATGAAATGCTCGCATAATTTCGCTCTTCCTATTTTGTTTTGCCTATTTTTAAAAAATAAATAAAGTGAAAGCAAGAGTGGCATTCTGAATGGTAATAGTTTTTTTAAAAAATAAAAATAAAAAAGCATTTTCTGTTCTGTCAAATCAGGGTAGGGCCTGAATGTAACAAGGGGGAGGCTGGCAGCATGTTCCTCACTGAGCTTGACAAGGGTTTCCTGCTGTCAGAGCAAATCTCTTGCCTTATTGCTGGGCTTTTGCAAATGCAATCTGAAAGCACATTGGGGCGTTGTGCAGTTCAGTGACCATTAATGATCGCCATTTGAAGTTCACTAAACTTCTGGTGAATGGATAGCAGTGATATAACCAGCAGGTTGATGGACATACAAAAAAGTCAAATCGCTCTGCGTGGTGATGTTTGATATTAGCTGGCTGAAACCCTTAGCTGTGTTGCACCTCCTGCCCTTGGGACAATACATTATGTCTTTTTTGCTATCATTTTGGGCTATCGGGTTCAGACTGTTAGAAGCCTGCTTTCTTTATTATGTATAATCCATTTTGACATGCAGGCAGAGGGAAATTTTATGTCTCTTTCAGGGAATAGCTTCATGGTGCTGATGTTTGATCAGAATTCATGATGCTTCAGTATGGCAGGAATGGGAGCAGCATGAAACCCCAGGACAGAGGATCAGTAGAGCAGTAGAGATCAGGGCTCATGTAGATAAAACAGACAAGATCGGGGTTAACATCACTTAGAAAACTACTCACTCTCTTGTCAAGTGTGGTGACCCATACTTGGCTTTGTCAGAAGGAAATAGAAGCTCACTTGTTCTGCAAAATGTGGAAAGAGCAGAAATGGTCTAAGTGCTCAGCCCCCATGTTTTCCAAACTGCCTAGAGACAGGAGTGTTTCAGCCTCAAGCTTGAAAAATCTCCAACCCTAGGCAAAAAAAAATTCACAGCACTTTAGAAATAACAGGTGGTATTCAGCTAAGTTTTATTTAGAGTAGACCCATTGAAATTAAATAACTTGATGAACTTGGTAAAACTTGGTTAACTACTGCCCCATGTTAGGTACTTGATACTGATCGGTTGCTAGCAGGATTTTCAAATGGTTTTAATGTATTTTTCTTGCTTCAACTGATCAAACAAATAAGCAAAGAACCAAAACTTGTATTATAATTGGATGAGGGGGTACAGGTGGTAAAGGCAGAGTCTGAGGAGGGGTGGAAGTCAGAGATTGGTCCTCTGACCTCAGCTGTCTTCAGGTGTGCAATAGAAGCTGGTGTTTGCTGATACAACCTGTCCATAGTAAGTTCTTTTTACATGGCTCATAGTTGGGGAGTCGAGTTGGTAATTTACAGGTCAGAAGTAAAATGGGGTAGGAGTCATCTGGGTTTGCTGGTTCATCAGATAAGAATAAATGGCAAAAATCTTCCCTTATACATTTGACAGGAGGTTGGAATACTAAAGATGGGGGAGCACGTAAGAGATATACTTTAGAGCTGGTGCTGGAAGGTTGAGTGTCAAATGGAGAAGTTTCACATATCTCTTTCACACAGATGAATTGTCTTTTTGATGTGCTAGCAAATTTGGTTAAAAAAGCCAACTGGACTGTAAGCAGAACACTTGTAGCAAGATACCCTTTTGTACAGGAGGTCTGAGAGGAAAAGATGGTAGCAAGCCTCTGTGGGTTGTGTCTAAGAATGGGGGAAGTGGGGGAGCTTCAGAGAGAGTGGCTGAAAAATTCAAAGGAGGAGAAAACGTGTGTTCTGTATAGCCAATCATAGATGATCACACAGATAATGCACAGAGAAGACAGAGGGCTTGTTGTGAGCCAATTTCTTGCTTGTTCAACAAACCATGGTTAAGATAAGCTATGGCTTATCATTACATCTTAATGAGGATAGGATGGAATAAGTGGTGAGTACTCAGTGATAGGTTCTGCCTTAGTAAGCTTAGTCATAACCCTGGAACTAGACACACAGCTGCATTTGTAACAGACACATAGCTTGATTCTGTTGTGCATGAGGATACCATGTTAGAGACTAGTGTGGGTAGTTAGGTCAGCACAGTCTTTTTTATCTATATCACAGGCTACAGGCATGCGTGCATAGTAAACAGCAGAAGATAGTCTTACTACATGGGTTGGAAAGGAGACACGGTACCTTTTTTTAAGGACACTAGACTGTGTATCTGCAAAGAAGCAAAGCAAAAATGCCCAAGCTGTTCCCCTCATCTAATCGAAGCACATTGTGTTGGTGAGCTCCTTTCAGTTGAAGCCAGACCACCTGCATCTTCTCTCTTCATTGTTTTCTATTCTCCAAGTTGGAACCGGCAGGAAGCTGATTCATGCCTTGTAGCCTTGAGTGTCCTGCTGATGACAACTGCTGTTGCAGGCAGAAGATCTGTCCAGCTTCCCACCATTAGCTGACAAGTACTTTCAGTAAGCCATCTTGGATGTGTAAGCTAGGAAAGCCACTCCGGTGGGAATTGGAAGGCATTCTTAGACTTTGTTGCAAGTTCAGAAACAGGTTGAATGTAAAAGGTCCCCCCGCCCTGTATAGTTTAACAATAGCCTTATACATGGATGCAAGGGCTGGATAAATGCAAGACCTTAGGGTGGGCAGAAATCAGCAGCAATGAGAACAAGCCCTGCTTATAGCTGGATGCGTTGTCACAAGTTTTACTTTCCCCTGCCTGCAAATGCTTCCCGTCTGCCAAACCGCATCGGCCTCTTGCTGACATTTTTAATGTCACTGAGCGATCTTGTATCCTTCATGAACTGTCAGTTTAGTTAGGACTTAGGGCAGGGAGTTTATTGTGCTCTTTGCCTTGACTAGATCTGTATTGGCGGGGGCTACCGGGGGATATGGATTTTATTAGAATGTTCTTATATATCAGATCTCCCCTTAAACCTTCTCGATGGGCAGCCATTGAGATAGTGGTTGAGTGCTGTTGACTGGCTTCCCTTCTGCTGCTGTCAAAAGCTGTCTTTATGAGCAGCAGAGGTGCTGTGGATCAGAATTAAGGTATTTTAAGAAGGATACTGTTTCTCAGATGGTCCAGGTTTGGAAGAGCTAAGGGTGCTTGCAGGCCAGGATGGAGGAAGCAGTAGTGGGACTGACAAATGCTGGAACTGTAGAGGGTCTATGGGGAAAGGGTAGATACATATGAATAAAGCAGTGGCTTGGGGAAAGCCTACTACAGAAGAGCAATTTGCTATGCTGCAAGGCTTAAATATAACATGCATTTCAATTTGTCTTTTGGACACTGAGGGCCTGTAACCACAAAACTGCTTGCTCCCTCATAGTTACAAGGAGGAGGGAGGCCATATGTAGGTATGTACCAAAGCACCCATCTCCAAATATCTGTCAGCTAAGACTTCTGCTCAGTTGGGTCAGACAGCTGCATTTTACCACTGAATCTTATGCTGTAAACTCTTTAGAACAGGGATCCATCTCTCTCACTTTGATCTGGAATATGCCATGAGCATTGATGGTACTATATAAACGATTAGTAGCAGTAGTTGCCCAACAAGAAGGTGCAGCTCCTTAGGCTGTGTAATAAAATAACTTTGATTAAGACTTAACAAGGAGCAAAAGGGATGCTCTCATGGAAACAAAGCAAAATAGCTTTTATTGTCATCCTGGGCAATCTGTGCTGTTTGGGTCTCCATTGTGGCAGAAGGCAGGAAGCAGGGGTGCAATGTTGCATGCATTGTACCTCATAAACCTTATGGGTGTATGAATAACTGTGTATATGTATATCTGTGAGCATATGGGTGCATTAGCTAATGAGGTTTCTGGGCCAGAGTCCATCTGGTATGTCACACGATGATGGTGCAGTGTTGCCAATTTCAACTTTAGTACCAAACGCAGAACCGAATGCATTTTATCACATGTAGACTCTAGTCCAGCAACCTCATTGATGAATTGCATTCATGCTCTGCACAATTGTGTGGTTCACTGATCTGTTAAAACCTTAGTGATATACAGCTAAGCCATTCAGATACATCCTGGTGATGTAATGCTGATAATACTTCTTTTAGGTTTATGATGAGGGTGTGTCCTGTGGTGCCTTTTTGGTCAGAAAGTGTTGTTCGTATTTACTTTTCTTTGGAAAAAGCCTTGATTTTTTTTATATT